TTGGGGGAAAATAATACCCCCAAATTCTGCTGGTTTGCTACTATCTTCCACTTCCTATAAGAAAGCAGGACAAGAAATATCCACATGTTCCTGGAACACACTTAATTATGAGTTGAAAATAGGCTTGCCAACATCCAGGTAGGTCCTGGAGATCTCCTGGAATTACAACAGGTCTCTAGTTGACAGGGATCTGTTTCCTTGGAGAAAATGGCTGCTTTGGAAGTTTGACTATATAGCAGTATACCCAGCTGAGGCCCCTCCCCTCCCCAAAGCTTCCCTCCTGTTAAGTCACTCACTTAACAAAGAAGTTGGAGAGTGATTCGGCAAGAACACAACTTTATTTTTCAACTCGAACACAACTCCAACACGGATCAACATTTGATAGCCAGAACAGCCTTTACATTGCAGCTGTCCTGCTTTTAAACATTCCCGGCTAATGTAGCCACACCCACTGTACAAATATCAACCTATGAGGTTGCAGAGATAAGGTCCAATCACATTAGTTCCCACTCAGGGAGCTTGCTTGAAAGTGATTGGTTAGGTGCTTCCTGGGCTAGTAACACGATTGGATGGATTTGGATCCTAGCCCAGGACGAAGCTTTACATTACACTTCAATTAGATGTTTCACTTCGTATCATGCATACACTACATCTCCCCAGGCTCCCCCCCAAAATCTCCAGGTATTTCCCAACCCAGAGATGGCAACCCTACTTGCAAAGAAGGGGCACAAACTGAAAGTGGAATTACAATCTAAACAGGGACTGTATCAGTACCTCGTGCACAAACACAATGGAAAAAATACAGCGCTTCCCTCCCCACTGTGCAGACTTCAACCTATTAAAAAAGCAAACCAACTAGGCCATATGCATTAGTTTTAAGTACGGAAAATTAATAGTAGCTATTAAAAGAAAATGTTACACAGAGAAATCGTACCACAGAATCTCACAAGTGTGAAGGCTGGAGGGAGAAGCTGGTCAGTCAGGCAAGAAAACCACCCACGCTTCTTTGAAATAACGTCTCTTTCCAATTATTCTACAAGAATTCTCTCAATGAAAGCAGACAGAGTGCTGAAATTCTGTCACTGGGAGGATCGCAGATGCTGTATGCTCCATGCTGGGAAGGGGAGGTAGCTGCACAGAGTGCCAATGTTGTGTACTGGTGAGAGCATCAGACGAGGATGTGGGAGACCCACATTCAAACGCCCACTCTTCCGTGGAAGTGCAATGGCTTGGTAACCTTGGGTCAGTCACACACTCTCAGCCCAAACTACCTCACAGAATTGTTGGGAGGACAAAATGGAGGAGAGGAGAATGATGTAAGCTACTTTGGGTTCCCTCTGGGAAGAAAGGTGGAGTGTAAATGGAGAAAATAAAAATAAATACAATCAACAATCCTTTGCAACATTCCACCTTTTCTGCTTTGGGAGCCCTTTCCGTTCTGTTTTTGCCAAGCCAGAAACATGGGAACTGGCATGCCTTCACTCAAACACACAAGGAAACAAAGAACGCCACAAAGAAAAACAGCTTGGTACCTTAAAGAGAGGCCCTTCCTAGTAAGTGGCAGGTAGAAAGGAACAGAAAGTGAGGGCACTGTGAGGAGAAAACAGAATTTCAGCGGCTCTGACTGAGGTTGGGAATAAGGAGTGGGAAAGGGGTTAAAAAGTTTCTCGATTCCTGTAATATTTTAGTAGAGGAAATGAACAGCCATGCCTCCTGGGCCTTGAACTGGCCAACCTGTGCCTGGGCTGTATCCTTTCAAGTTACATGCAAGTCTGTATGTTGTGGGGGCTTACAAGCTGGAATGCTTCTTCACACACAAATATTTTTTCCACACTGAAAATTAGTATGGCCATCTGGCAGATGAGGGTTTTTCTAATACACGGGGAATGCTTTTACATGGAAGAACATCCAGTCAGCTATCAAAACTAATAATTAATACATATATGAAACAGCCCTCACACCGCGTTGACATCACCGACTTGAGACAAACCCTCAATCTAGTCTACTCTTCAGATGCTCTATAGAACAACCACTACAGTACCTGCTCATTCCTTCTCAGGTGAATCTTTAAAAAAATTAAAACTACCCAAACCCTGTCTACTTGGCACAGGAGGAACACAACTGTCTAGATCTCAAGGCTGCCTCCAAACCACCAGAATTAAAAATGATGCACCTCATTTGTTTCTTGGATGATGAACTGATAATAAAAGCACACACCAATCACCAAAGCAACCCAATGCAACAGAGTCAGTACCACTACCATCTCCGCTGTGCCCAGCTAGTAGATCAGAGCTGGGTATTTGACATAGGGTTCCCAGCTCCAGGGTGGAAATTCCTGGAGATTTAAGGGAAAGCCTGGGGAAGCTGGAGTTTGGGGAAGGGAGGGAGTTTAGCAGATTATAATGCCATAGAGTCCACTCTCCAAGGCAGTCATTTTGGCCAGGGGAATAGCTCTCTATCATCTGTAGATCAGTTGTAATTCTGGGAGACAGATCTCCAAGCCCCACCTGGAGGTTGGAAACCCACACCCAATCACATTCAGTTCCTGGCTGGGCCACCCACAGGTGGCAGACACATGGAAAACCCACCATCAGTTTTTCTGTAGTTATGTACCAGCTTTCTCGCTCAATCTTACCACGTCCCCCTTCTCACTGCAGGACCTGTTCTGTGTGGTTTTTTGATCCACGCAGGTTCCACAGTCCCCGGCCTAAGGCAAAGCACCCCTTGTTCCTTCTTTTGCCACCAGAAAGAGCTGACAGAAGCCTATTCTCCAGTTCCCCCCCCATGCAAAATTTCATTAATATTTGTGGTATATCAGCCCATCCCTGATAATGCAACTGTTTAACGTGACTTGATGCTCCATGTTGAAGCTGGCCTTCCAAAGAATGCTCTCAGATATTTTGGTGGTGGAAAGTGGTGTCAAGTTGCAGCGACTCATGGCAACCCTGCAGGCTTTTCAAGACAAGAATTTCTAACAGAGGTGGTTTATCATTGCCTGGCACCCCACTGTGACCCTGGACTTTCTGGGTGGTCTCCCATCCAAATACTAACCAGGGCTGACCCTGCTTCGCTTCCAAGATCTGATGAGATGGGGCTAGCTTGGGCTACTCAGGTAAGGAGATACTTTGGGCATCAACTAAATAGAGATTACCATAATCACTATTCTCTGCCATAAGGGTATGGAAGGGGGTGGACAGGTGGAAGTGCCTATTGAAATGGTTTATTTTATTAAGAAAGGACAACCTGTTGGTAAATGGTGGCAGAAGGCCAGCCTTTGGATAACTGGCTTCAGTCCCCTGATCCTTATGGGTTGGATCAAGACTAAATTTTCCACCAGTGGAATGGAATTTTCCTGCCTTTCCCTTCCCACAGCAGCCCACGCTGTTGCTGTGGGGATAGGGGACCCTGAGAAACAACAGGGAAGGGCTGTGGCTCAGTGGCAGAGCACCTGCTCGGCACACAGAAGGTCCCAGGTTCAATCCCCAGTTGAAAAGATCAGGTATTAGATGATGTGAAAGACCTCTGCCTGAGATCCTGGAGAGCCACTGCCAGTCTGGGTAGACAATACTGAGTGTGATGGACCAATGGTCTGATTCAGTATAAGGCAGCATCCTGTATGTTTTTATAACAGGAGGGGAGCCTGCATCAGGAAGGAGGCAGTGGCCAATTTAGTTTGGATTCAACCCTATGGTGGCTAAAGGAAAACACTGCTTTCGAAGTTCTTCGGGGGAACGGAGGGGTCTGATTCTCGTCAGAGCTTGGAAACTAAGCAGGATCAGCAGTGGTGTGTACTTGCATGGGAGACCATCATGGGTTCCTATACAGAAGAAGGCAATGGCAAACCACCTCTGCTCATCTCTTGCCTTGAAAACCCCACAGTAATGGAATCACCCTGAGTCAGTTGCGAGTTGATGGCACACAATTTTGTCATCATTAAATGCTCTTTTCATTCTGATCCTGCAACCGATTTCACGAGCCTGTTAACGAACTCCAAGTTTGCTACATGGTTAAAAAAAATTACAGACCCATTATGGAAAAAATAAAATATTTTAAAACTCAGCCCTAGCTCACCATTCAGTGCAGGTTTTCTTGGTCTCTCCTTTGAACGTAAAAAAGCCCTTTATAAATTGCAAGCGACAGTATTCTTTTGACATCAGTTTTTCAAAGTGTGAGACCGGCTTTGCATTTTGTCAAATACAGAGCATTTTTTTAAAAATAAACCCTGCTACAAACTAGGTTGCAACCCTCAGTGAGAGAGAATATTTCACACCAGAGGAAAGGCAGAAGGAAGGAAAAGAGGTGAGGAGCAGCGAGCTGGAGAAATGGGATTCCTCCTCACTTTAAAGCATCCAAGGTAGAAACTTGGGGGCGAGGGGGGGGGGCAGGGAGGAGTATTAGGTTCAGCTGGGTCAGAACAATCGCAGCCAAGGGGTCCATTTCTAACCAACCAGCAAAAAAAGTTAACCCCCTACAAGCGAAACCCAATCGGATGGGCCAGGGACGGGGAGAACTGGAAATCAGCCAGTTACTACTAAATTGCAGAGTCATCAACAAGAGAGAAGATGGGGGGGGCCGTCCTTCTCTTCCATCCCTGCCAAAGGGGCAATGTTTGTAAAGGTCACCCAGCCCAACCTGGAAGCAGCCCCAGCCAACTGGGAAGATGCTCTCCTCCCCAAAAGGAGAGAGATCCAGCCTGGAAAAAAAGAACTTTGAACAAAACGCCAAAAATGGAACGGGATGATTAACTCTGGCAAAGTGGCTGGATGGGCGATTCTCATTCTCTCCCTCTCCGTCTCCCTCTGCCTCCCCCCCCCCCCCCCCCAGCCTCTGCCTAGGAAAACTAATCTTTCTCTGCAGGACCCAAGCAGGAGGGAAGCAACCTCAGCAGGGTATCACTATACAGAGTCCACCCTGCAGAGCACATACATATGAGATTCAGCATCTAGGAGCTTTGCAATCTTTTCTGGGGGGAGTGCAAAAGAGAGCGAGCAATACTGGACCAGGCTTTCACTCGGATCTTGAGCTCCCCTTCCTGAGGCTCCGGCATGACTTTCTTGGAGACCCGCAGCTTGTTCAGCCCGCCGAAGGCGGACAGCACCACGGCTCGCATCTCCTTGGCGTCCGCCGCTCTCGGGCTGCCGCCGGCGGCCGTGCCTCCTTCCGCCGCCTCCTTCTCGATCATCTGCTCCGTCTCCTCGGCTTTCTCGGCTCCTTCCTTGGCCATGGCGCTGGCGGGCTCGGGGCGGCGGGCGGGCGGGCGGGCTGGACGGCTGCGAAGCGGCAGAGGCGGACCGAAGGCGCTTCCCTTCCGCACGCCGCCGGTCCCTCCTGTTGAATGCGCGTCTCCGGCAGCGAGGCGGAGGATGCCTGCCCGCGATGTGCGCAATGGCTGCAGCCGCCGGGAGGAGAAGGGGCTCGGGTCCTACCGCCGGCCCGACCGTAACTCACGGAGTAGATGCGCAGCCCGGAAACAAAAAAAAGAGGTCCTACCAGCCTTGCGGTACCCGGCGTGTCAGTAGCATCACAGCAGCAGCAGCAGAGGCTGAATGGGAAGGGCTGTACTGCGTCGAGCACTGTGGGGCGGGCGGCTTTCAAGACTAGCAGACTGCTGCTGCGTTAGGAGTTCAAGACGACTTGCGCTCCTAGGGTGGTTGCCTATCTCCAGGTGAGAGCCGGAGATCTCCCAGAATCGCAACTGATCTCCAGGCTACAGGGATTAGATCCCCATGGGTGCTTCGGAGGGTGGACTCTATGGTATTATACCCCGCTGAGGCCCCCTCTCTCTCCAAACTCCACCCTCCCCAGGCTCCACCCCCAAATCTCCAGGAATTTCCCAACCCTTGGTTGGCAACCCAACCATCTAGTCTTAATAAGGACCCTCACTCTCTATAGGTGTTAAAATCCTGAATACATCACTTCATGCAAAAACTGATGTATCTCCTTGCCTTTTATTATACCTGCTTATCTTGCACTAGATTTTAGGTTAATCCTGCTTTGTCTATGTAACAATGGTGAAGTGTGGCACTCACAGTGAACTGACCCTTAAACGCCCTTTTCAGCTAGCCTCTTTGCAGTACCCTCCCATCGCTGTCTTAAAGCTCTGGACATAAAAGGATCGACCTAATGGATATACGCTCCAATGCATCTGATGAAGTGAGCTCTGACATCTGCTGGAATGAATGTGGTTAGAAGAACGTTCCACGCAGGGAATAAAGAACCTCCTGGTGGTCCCCAGTCTGAGAGAGATTCGGCTGTCCTCAACCAGGGTCCCTACCTGGTGTATCTATAGGTGTTAAAATCTTGAATATATCACTTCATGCAAAAACTGATGTGTCTCCTTGCCTTTTATACCTGCTTATCTAGCACTAGATTTTAGGTTAATCCTGCTTTGTCTATGTAACAATGGTGAAGTGTGGCACTCAGTACGACATTTGACACTCTCATATACTTTCCCATCCTTCGCAATCTCTCCCCGCAAGGAGGCTGGGGAGCTGAATTTTTTTTCCTGCCATCTTATATGTATGTTTGTGTCTGTCTGTCTGTCTGTCTGTCTCTATCTGATTTGTACCACGCCCTCCCCACCAAGGCAGGGCCAGGACAGTTTACATAAAAATAGTGACAGATAAAACAACAATATAAATATCAGCATAAAACACCACATAGCTACCAAAATAGTTTGTATAGCGATGGCAGTACAATAGTAGCAGGGTACATAATAATAACAGCGTTCCGTGCACCTCTGCGTTTAGTCATGCCGGCCACATGACCACGGAAATGTCTTCGGACTGTGCTGGCTCTTTGGCTTGGAAACGGAGATGAGCACCGCATCCCTAGAGTCGGATTCGACTGGCTTTGGAGTAAGGGAAACCTTTACCTTTTACATAGTAAGCATACAGTCAGCAGATGATTTCCCTGTCAGCAAGCTCAGGCTGGATGATGAAGCTCAGGCACAGGGCCTTAGATGGTAAAGTGCGGCTCCTTATCTAAAAACCTAGCAGAAGAGCTCCATTTTACAGGCCCTGCAGAACTGTAAAAGGTCCCACAAGGCCCTGATCTCTTCTGGAAGCTCATTCCACCAGGTTGGAGCCACCAGTGAAAAGGCCTTGGCCCTGGTTGATGCCACCCTGGCGTCTTTAGGGCCAGGGAGGGCCAAATGATTTTGAGACCCTGACCGTAGTGCTCTCTGGGGAACATGCCAGGAAAGGTGATCCCTCAGGTAGGTAGGTCCCTGACCATAAAGGGCTTTAAAGGTAAGCACCAGCACCTTGAATTGAACTCGGTACACTATACGTAACCAGTGCAGTGCTTTCAGCACAGGCTGGATGTACTCCCACATGGGGAGTCCCAGCAACAACCTGGCCACCGCGTTCTTCACCAGCTGAAGCTTCCAGATTTGGGTCAAGGGCAGCCCCACATAGAGAGCATTACAGTAGTCTAATCTCAAGGTGACCATAGCTTTTGGAGCCAAAACTCACTTCATCGGATGCACGAACTATTACCTTAAGTTATTAAGGGTGAATACACATATATGGTTGTGTATGTGTAAAGGATTTTAAGAGATATATAATATTTTTGAGCACTGAATTGTAATTCATTATATTTTGATGCCTTAGAAGAACATGCCTTTGAATTGCAGCTGATTCATAGCAACCCTGTCTATGGGGGATTCCAGGCAAGTGATGAACAAAGGTGGTTTGCCCCTGCCTTCCTCTGCAGTCTGGACAGCAGCCCCGGTCTTCCTTAGTGGTCTCCCATTCGAGTACTGACCTTGGCTGACCCTGCTTAGTCTGATTATCTTGGGCTAAAATGGACTGTTTTGAAGCATTACACTATAAATAATTACTTTGGTATCCCTCCCTCCATCCAAAGAGTTCATGACAGTTTACAGACTTCCAGAAAAATCCTAAGCAGGTCTACTCAGAATCTTACTAAATTCTACTCAATGGGGTTTACTTCCAGGGATGTGTTATTAGGACTGCTCTGAGATTTTCCATCACACTCTGCACTGATTTACTGAACAACTAGATTTTTAGGTAAAGGTAAAGGTTTCGTTTGCTTGAAAGCCAGTCGAATCCAACTCTAGGAATGCGGTGCTCATCTCTGTTTCCAAGCGGAAGAGCCAGCGCTGTCCAAAGACATTTCTATGGTCATGTGGCCAGCATGAGTAGACGCCAAGGCGCATGGAACACTGTTACCTTCCCACCGAAGCAGTACCTATTTATCTACTTGCAATTTCTTGGTTTCGAACTGCTAGGAAGATTGATTTACTGATGCACAAATAATGTTGAAGAAGGAATACCAACTTCCGGTCGATGGCGGCATGCTAAGCAGACTCACCTCCCGGACTGCTCGGGGGTGAAGCTGCGTTCTGGCCGGGGGAGGGGGTGCGCAGGCTTGCAACCCCCCTGGGACCCGGCGAAGGGGCCCTGGCCAAGGAACTTTTGAAGAGGCGGCCTCTTCGAGAGTGGAATGCCCGAGAATTGAGGCGCCTCTTTGTTCCAGTGGTTCCCTGTGCCATGAGACCCAGATGGTACTAGTGGCATTAACCGGAGCAAGCGTAGGAGATCCGGCATTTGAAATGAGGGCCTTGAGCGGGGTCGGAAGACCAATAATGAACGTGAGTCAATGTTAAGGCAATTTAAAGAACAAAAGGCAGCTCCCCACCCTACTTCACGGAACTGAGAAAAGCAGAGCGGGGGGAGGGACGCCTCCCATGCGCATATGTTAAACGAGTGAGGGGGGAGCGGAAGAAAAAGCAGAGAAAACTGTCGAGAGACACTTACCCGCGGGAGTTTAAGAAATCAAGTGCACATCCAGAGACTTTAGCAAAGCTGGGAAAAGTAAACAAATGATTAAGATGGCGGGGAAGAAGGACAAAGAAAGACTTCTGAAAGCTAGGGGGCTGGACAGTCCTAAACCGGAAGTAGCCAGTGAGATGGAAAAGGTTGTAGCAGAGTCTATATGCCCTCTGATGTAACAGCTGAATAACTTCAAAGAACAGATGTCAAAAGTAACACAAAGCATAACAGTAACGCAAGCCCAGATGGGTGCAACCCAAGCCCAGATGGGTGATCTGATACAAATTATGAAGCAAGATGCTGAGAAAATAAAGGAAGCGACTGCAACTACACAAAAAGTAAAGAAGAAAGTGCAAAAGCTTGAGGAAAAGACAACTTCTTTGGAAGATCAAATGCTACAAGTACAAATGGAAAAGGCCAGCATGATTCTTCGCTTCCAGGGCATGCCAGAAAAATCGGAGGAGAATCTTAAAGAAGAGATGAGTGAACTACTAGCTCCAGTGGCAGATATGAAAAAAGAACTGTTACTAAGCGAAATGGATGTGGTCTTTAGATCATATTCAGGATATATAAAGAAGAACAATCTGCCTGGGGAAATTGTTGTAAGATTCTCGAAGAGGCATGTAAGGGATGCAATCCTGAAAGCGGTTTCTGGGGGGCCCCTGAAAGTGGGAGAAAGTGCTATCAGAACGCTGAAGGATATTCCATTTGAGGTGAGACAACGGAGAAAGAAATACAAAGAGTTGGTGACTTTTCTTCAGATAAACTCAATTGGATATAAATGGTTGTTTCCAGAGGGAATCACTTTCAAGATCAAAGATAAAAAAGAAAAGATTGATTCTGTCATAAAAGCCAAAGTTTTTTTTAAAAGCGCAGCTGGGAAGATCAGAGGACAAAGAAAAAGAAGAGGACAGCAAGTCTAGCGGCGAGCTGGACTCTGGTTCTTCCGGAGAGGACTCTCTGGACAAGAAGGGGGCGGCTGCTCCAAAAAGTCCTTACAAGCTACGAAAAAGACGATAAATAGAGAAATAGAGGCTGAAGGACTCTTGATGGTGCCTCGGGAAAGAAGATGAAAATAGAAGACTTGGGGATGTTGTCTTTAGACAGTGAATTGTAAAAGTTAGAAAAAAGAAAATGCATTAATGATTGACTCCGTTTGTTTTATGTCTAAACGAAGGAAAGTTTTATTGGGAGTAAGCTAATGAAGATCTCCTCTCTTGGGTTTTTAGGTAGTTGTGGGTACGTTTACTTTATCCTGTATATGTAGTTCCCCTTCCTATTTTCTGTAGTGGTTTTTGTAGTTTTGCAAAATAAAAAAAATCCCCTTTGGGGGCTTCAAAAAAGAAGAAGAAGAAGGAATACCAAAAAGGTGAGAGAAAACAGAAAATGCTGTGACAATAAAAAAAACCAAGGAAGATTCCCCACT